CGAAACGTCTTATTTCTCTAATAATTTAATGGAACGTCAAAGCTTCCGCATATCGCGCTCGAAGGGGAACTGAATTCAGACGATGTTTAAGAGTCGAGAACGGGCAACGAATCGCCTTCTTTCTCTCATGATTTAATGAAACGTCAAAGCTTCTGCGCTTCGCACAGGAGGGGGTGCACTGAATTCAGACAAGGATTAAGAGTCGAGAATGGTAATACAAATCGTCTTCTTTCTCTAATACTTTAATGAAACGTCAAAGCTTCCGCGCTTCGTGCATGACGAGGATTATTTTCGAGAACGGGCAACGAATCGCCTTCTTTCACTAATGATTTGATGAAACGTCAATGCTTTGGCGCTTTGCAGAGGAGGGAGTGGGAAAATCGCCCCTCTCTGCACCCCCCCCCATTACGTCAATGCTGGTCAACATTACGTACCAATATTTGGCTCGCATAATTTCAAATTTGACCCCCCCCCTAAGAAATCCTGGACCCGCGCCTGCCCGTGATGACATTCTCTCCATTTCTTCCCGTTCTAACATAATGTCCTCCTCATTATTCGGAGCAACCTTATTTACATTCTTTCTTTACTTTACTCTTTACCATATCCTTCCAAAACACAGGGGCGGATCTAGCTATTTGCTTAGGGTTGGGGGGGGGGGGGGGGTAACCCAAATACGATGTGGAGCATATCGTCCACGAGCCACATAGCGGCGAGGCGATTTTTGTTGTTGCTATTTTGAACACTCGTAAGTGATGTTTTCCAGGCATCTACTGACATCTACTACCACTGTGTAGGTCTGGACACATGATAGCATTTTTTTTATGCACATCACATTTTCACTTGGCAGCCCAAGGGGGATCGGGGGGTTACTAAACCCCCTAAACCGCCAAGATCCGCCTCTGCAACATCTTTGCTGATCTTCTTCTCAATATTGATTAATTAGTCGAGTTACATTATTTGCTGGTCTTTTAGAACAAACAGATTTCAGAGGATTCACACTTTTCATAACGAAAAACTTCTCCATGTTTCAGTCCTTGCGCGATCGTCTCCAGCTCTGCGAGCTTCCGTTGTTTGTATCGGTAATACCAAGAAGTTACCTCATAGAGATGGGAGAGAAAGCGCCATCTAAGTTCCATTTCATTGGTTTAAGGTTTGAAAATTGATACTCAATATTGTGTTAAAGTTATATAAGAAAAGATATTCTTTATTTTATAATTAACGGGGGCGATTGCAAAATTAAAAATCGCCCCCGTGGGCAACCTGACGGGGGCGATTATGGAGCTCATGCTTATCACCCCCGTGTATTTTGAGCGCTGGTCCACGCACATCTAAAAGTCCCTATTGATGTTTTACGTGATCCGAACACGATTTTTATGGGATATTCAACGAGGTATAGACCAGATTGGCCTCGAGTTGATTTTTGAGTCTGTGCTTTCACCCACACTTCTCACAAATACCCTCACTTCTTCCAGGGCAATCACTATGAACAACCACACTCATATTTCTCAAAGATTGATTTATCTAACAGAGAGAGAGGGAGAGAGATAGAGAGATGGAGGGAGAGAGAGAGAGAGAGAGAGAGAGAGAGAGAGAGAGAGAGAGAGAGGGGTAGAATGAGAGAGAAAGAGGGAGGAAGAAAAGATTAGGGAAGAGAGGGGGAGGGATGAAGGGAGAGAGAGAGAGAGGGAGAAAGGAGAGAGAGAGAAAAAGGAGAGTGAGAAGGAGAGAGAAAGAGAAAGGAGAGAGAGAGAAAAAGGAGAGTGAGAAGGAGAGAGAGAGAGAGAAAGAGGGAGAAAGAGGAGAATGAGGAGAGAGAAATAAAGGGAGAAAGAGAGAGAGAGAGAGAGAAAGGAGAGAGAGAGAGAAAAAGGAGAGTGAGAAGGAGAGAGAGAGAGAGAGAGAGAGAAAGGAGAGAGAGAAAAAGGAGAGTGAGAAGGAGAGAGAGAGAGCGAGAGAGAGAGAGAGAAAGAAAGGAGAGAGAGAAAAAGGAGAGTGAGAAGGAGAGAGAGATAGAAAGAAGAGAATGGGGAGAGAGAAATAAAGAGAGAGAGAGAGAGAAAGAAAGAAAGGAGAGAGAAAAAGGAGAGTGAGAAGGAGAGTGAGGAGAGAGAGAGAGAGAGAGAGAGAGAAAGAGGAGAATGAGGAGAGAGAAATAAAGAGAGAGAGAGAGAGAGAGAGAGAGAGAGAGAGGGGGGGGGGGGGGAGGCCCGAGGGGGTAATGAGGTTGTGGAAACTAGACTAATAAATGAAACTCATCACTTCATTAGTTTTTTTTGCAAGGATAGAGTCACTTTTGAGAATTTATTAAAATGTTTCATTGTTTTGAATATTTCAATCAACATGATGAATAACATGGTGAATATAATATTATATTTAATACTTCATTGTCATCTCACATCAGCATTCATATACTCACATCAATTTCACATATTTGAATTTAAGATTAAAAATGAATTCATTCCAAATGGCAGCAAGGTAATATAGCTTAAAGATTTTGGTCTCATGCAATATACTAGAGTACATGGGGGGAAACTATACAACGGAAATAGATATCATGAAATAAAAATGGTACATGCATTGTCTTTTAATACGCTTTTGCAGCAAAATTAAAGAGAAAACTTCTAGCCTTTATAATCAATAACAGATTTCATCAACTTTATCCAAAAGACATGAAAAAGGGGGGCAAATATTCGTAGTATTTCAACAGATTTCTCACATTCCTTCTTTTTAAAATCGAATCTAGCTTTCTTATTGCATATTCCCTACTCCATATGTTATGAATTCAATAATGCCTCTGTTTTTTTCTTCTTCTGTTTTGATTAACATTGATATGTATTGCTCATAAACATATTTGTAATGCTGGGTTGAATAATTCATGCCAATTCACATTCAGAAGTTAAACATTTGTTATAATGTCTTGAAAAAATTCCATCAATGACATTCTTTGGTAACATATTTGCACTGACCAGAAAAGAATAGGTATTATCAATCACCATGAGTGAACCGATCACTTTTGGTTTGTACAAAGACTACAATAGAGATTGGCAGAGTCCTTTCACATATGGTTTCCAACTTCCCATCTCACACTGCAACCTTTGAGTGCATTGCCATCCGCACAGCAGTCAGAAATGCACTACATATTCAAATCAATTTGCAGTCTTGCGTCCTGTAAGTGAAAACATTTGGCTTTATTTCTGTCAATACATTAATTCCTCTTCTATAATTAATTTTAGACAGTGTTTATGATATCACATTAGTGTTGTACAAAACAAGCTCTTTTGTGCTTTTTACCCCTAACACAGGCAGTGGCATAAAATAATTTGTTCTCTCTCTCTCCTACATTTGTTTTATTGCCCAGGTCATCATAGCAACTGCTATTTTTCTGTGTTGTGCATTAGATATTAAAACTACGAAGAACACAATGTCTGATCATACGCACTCTAGCACACATTATTATTTATTAACTTTGCTCTTTCAAAAATGATTTGTCATAAATAAACTCTCTATATATCTTAATAAATTAATGGCTTCTTGGCTTGATGTGTCTTCAATATCTAATAAAATATCTTATGATGCAATTAAAATCTCTCAGCATATAAAAATAAAGACAATAACAGGCATCATTTGTGTGCTTTATAAAAAGACTGCAAATTCATTTTTTCACATTTTCGTTCTCCCCCTCCCAACTCCCCTGAACCTTTTAGCTAAAGTCACCATGATTCACTTTCCTTCCCAAAGTCAAGAGAGTTCGATCAGAAAAGAATCAACTATAACGCTGACTTGAGAAAGGAAAGGATTTATATGCGTCTTCAATTACTGTTTGATGCATTATCTTTCAAAAAAAATGTTGAATACTGGTAGTGGTACATGTAACCGACAGACTTCGTTTCTAATTTGATTTGATCTGATCCAATCTCATTCATGTTTGAAACTTTATCAGGCATTTATACGACAATGGTCAGTGATATGAACTACTAAAAACAGAGCAAATAAATATTATATCAGTTTCGCATTTCATTCCAATACATCGGACTTCATTTAAGTAATATGCAAGAACAAAGGTCCTTTATTCTTTCTTACGTGAGTCGTATAAAAAAAAATGGTACTTCATTCGATATAATATGTTCCATTGTTTGTACATCTCACTGTAGTATAGCTGTCGGCTCATTGGAATGATTTGTTTGCCTGATCGATTGTAACAAGTTTCTCTTTGATTCGAAAGAAGCAAACACACGCTGGAATTGGCAACAGGGGGAAGCTTTTAGGATATAATAACATAATATATTCTATATATATAAACTATCACAAGGAGAAAAAGACAGAATAAAAAAGACGAATAGGCGTAACGATGAATTTAAGAAAAAGGCTCATCGATTAAAAATGTAACCTAAACATGACAGACTGCTGTATGGAAGATTTAGATTGTTGCCTGATGACCAGGCCATACTTAAACCCAAACGATTTAGCGGGACATTCTACACTAACACAAATCTTGGCTCAAAATCTTCACCGTTCTGATATCGGGTTATTCACAAAGATTTTTTTGAGGCCAATAATGATGAAGGGTGAACAGACAGTCGTTGAATTTAGACTGTACTCTCAGTGAGTATTGTCTTGTCTACAAAAAAATGCCTGAGATATGAACACAATGCTAATGATGTTATACAGTAATAGTAATCTATTACTGTCGGTTATTACACTTCTCCCGAACAACCTGAAACAACCTGAGCTCACTGCCTATGGCAACCTCGTGGTTCCCGTTTTAGGCCTACAGGAATGAGAATTTCAAAGTCAACTGGTTGAAGATTTTGCGGCCCTTTGTGAAGTTGATCCCTAATTTCTGATGAAATATAGGGATACTGACCCGTTAAAGACATTTCCAGAAACATTTCACATGGATTTCCAATTTTTCAATTATTTTTCTTAGTGTTTAAAGCCCATCTGTAATAGTTTACAGAAGGGATTAGACCACCCTGCAAGGTCACTGACAAGTGGTTATCTCATCAAATCAGCTCTCACTTAATATAAGAAAAAGAGGATCATAGGGGACCAATGGTCACCGATTAGACATTGTTTGCTATATAGAGGGCACAGTAGCTATAAGTAAGACAGTGTGGCTTTAAAGGGTGAAAATAATAGATGAAACATTCTAGAAACACACTGCAGTCTGTCATGCGAAGGAAATTATTTCTAAACGATGGAGCCAAAGACACTTGATTCCCTCCTTCGCTGCGTTCTTATCATTGATCGTTGGGGGTTGTTCACATCGTGCATTTACTTCTTGGACAAAGACATGTAGTAATCGGAGAGGATCCCCCATGCCTTGGGCGCCATGAAGCCGTCGGGAGGGGTGTGTCCCTCGCGAGCCAGCTTGCGCATGCGGGTGCCCGAGATGAAGTCAAAGTCCTCCTTCTTCTCCGGATCGAAGAAGTCCATGGCTTTCTTCTTGAGGTTGTAGGCAGCGACGCGGAATGGGATGATTTCTAGTTGAGTGAGACCGGGCGCCATGGTGAGGACCTGGAGAAATAGATAAAAAGGGAGAGAAATGGATATTTTTATTAGAGACATAAGAATATTAATTATCTGGATTTATATAGCGCTCAATATGGAATACCATCTCTAAGCGCTTTATAGATATTATTACCCCGGTCATCGGATTCATTCGCACACACTGTGCACCATCTCCACTCCCTTCTAGTGGACTTGGTACTGTGACTTTGCACCAGTGACAGTCACCTTGAGCTTATTCAATCCAAGGTCAAAATTAGGGTTCTAATTAGGTTTCTAGGTTTGGTATTAGGGTTAGGATAAGGGTTAGGGTTAACTTCAGGGTAAGGGTTACAGTTGGTACAGTGTTGGGTCCACCGCTGATGTTGGAATTCAGATCATATACAAAATTGACATACATTGTGTTGTTCAACCAGAATTTTTTGTAATGCCAATTCAGTCGATGAATATGTAGGTGATGAGAAGCAAATGTCTAGGCAGAGAGAGAGAGACTAAGAGAAAAAGAGGGAGAGAGAGAGAGACTGACAAGCGCGGCAGAGTGTCATGGGTGGTGCCCATCATACAAAACGATGACACACTGTCAATGAATAAACACTTTGGCAAATAGACCCAAGTTAAAAGTGCATAGATCGACAGAAAGGTAGATTCAAAGATGAATCGACAGATGGAGGAATAAAAAGAAATATCAGTAAATGAATGGATGGATGGACAGAAAGTTATGGAAGGAAATGGCTCATTAATTCCAATGCCAATACAGAAAACAAACATTAACTGAAACACATAATACATGTGTATAGCAAAACTCAACAGCTTTATTTTATTAAAAAACAGATAAAGGGAAAAAATGTTAGTTTAAACACCGAGACACATAACGACGTGGTCGATTTCAAAGCCGGAAAGTTTTTTAAATTATTGCTCAGCCGTTCAGCAGAATTTTCAGACTAGACAGGGTGGTAAAGGCGAGTCAACAAATGCTTTGCACAAATTTATTTTTTTGTTCTTTTCCTTTTTTCAGAAGTCCAGGTTATTTCTGGTTTTGAAAGTAGGAACGGGGCTCACATTTTTATTATTCCGTAGCCAGGAGTTCCGTTGTATGTGCGCCCTTTGGACTATGTAGCCAATAAGATCACTCACACACGTGTGCGGTCCCTCACAGGTACAGCCTGACCAGCGACAGGCTGTGAGGGCGCTAAAGGGAGGTGATGTCGGGGACTATTTGGCCGTGGAGGGGGGGGGGGGAGTGGTGATGTTAGAAACATACAGAGGGCAGGTATGGGTTAATGACGAGATCGGAAGAGAAAGAAAGAGAGAGAGAAAGAGGATCCTGAGAAGTACAGCTAGACCAAAACACCAAAGTTAATGGATAGTCCTTTATTATTATGAAAAACAAAAATACCATGACACCCATCTTAAATAAAAAGAGGTTTGAGTTTCAAGAAGACCATCAAATCTACAGTGTAGGTATTTTCTTGAAGAGTAAAAAAATCTTTTCCTGAGCATGCTAGGATTTCTCAAAAACTTATAAAGTAATGTCAAACCCTAAACCTACATCAACAGGTAATTGGACGGTGGATGGTCGTTTTAGGATTGTTTAATTTATCATTTTCACAATGTCCCCCCCCCCCTCCTCCTCCATTTCCCTTTCCTCCCAAGGCATGAGAACACCTTTAATCTGTATCTTTCTATTAAAAATAAACATATTTCACAATAATTTCTTTACGTCGGAGTACCCCAACTTGACCTCCAAAAGGTTCTTTTAAAGGATAAAGTTAACTGCCTGCTCCCACAGAAATCTCAGGTGTCCAACAGAAAATCCCAGTAGACCTTCCCTAGGGCAATATCAAATGGTAGTTTTTAACTGCTTGACCAGGGACCAGTATGACAACCAATGTTGATAACCAATCAGAAGCAAGGATTTCAGTAGCTTATAACGACAAATGTCATTTGTCACTGATGACAAGTTTTGTGAAATGCCCCCCCCCCCCTGGACATGTAAGCAAATGAACATCAAATACTTGCTCTTAAGGAAATCTATGGTCTTTTTATAGAAAACCCAAACAGAGATCTAATAAAGACACCAACAAGAGAAGGATGCCATTTTTCTTTAACTAATCAATTAATTTTTCTGCTTAACTAAGATAAATATTAATCTTGGTACTTACACGTCGGCCGTGGGAATGATCGTAGAGGTCACCTGACTTGTCTGGGTGTGGCATACCGGCGGGGTCACGACCCACGATGTAGAAGTTTGCTCCTGTGGCCATACGAGCTTTGGCGTGCCATTGTACCTGCGGAAGAGAACGTCAAATTTGAATTGAATGAGTTTTGGACGTTGTTTGGAACATGTGTTAAATCAAGAAAGGCTACTGAATAACCAGAAGCTTTTGCTACATTAAACTGTTGTGATTGGTATACAAGAAAGATTTTCACAGCAAGAAACTTGTACCATTTGCAAAAGGTCAGTTTTGTGGGCATGGCCACAATATAAATGTAGCTACTAATACTACTACTACCACCACTACCTCTACCACTACTACCGCTAACACTAATACTGTTGTCATGAGCATTATAAAGGGCATTATCATTACCAACATGGTATGGGCGCTCCAACTATTACCCCGGCTCTGCTAGTCGGCCGATTTCGGCACTCACAGCATTCAAGGAATTCCTTCCCACCGGTACCCATTTAACACCTTGGTGGAGAGTGGCAAATGTAGATTAATATCTTGCCAAAGGACATTAGTGCCGTAGCGGTACTGGAACCGCCAACCCTGAGATCCACAGACCTACGACTTATCGACTAGACGACAACACCAGAACCAGAACCCCTTCATCTAGGATAGCTGAATGCTATCATCTTCATCATTATGATTATGTAATGGAAGCTATGTCTTACCTCTGTTGGTCCTGCATACATCATGGGTGATGGGAAGATGGCCACTACTGTACTATTTGGATCCAAAATGCCTTCATCTAGGATAGCTGAGTGCTGGCGCATGCGCACATCGAGAGGCACATCATCAGCTTTGGTCCAACCACCTGAGAGTGATCAAGAATTCACACAATCAATACCGGGATTAATATTTGATGATGGCAGTAAATGAATATCAATTAAATATTGGGAACTACAAGAAATACAAAATGGAAGGAGAAACCCGAGGGTTATACTGAACCCAATGACCGGGGTAATAATATATCTCTAAAGCGCTTAGAGACATTGTATTAAGCGCTAAATAAGCATAATATTATTGTTATTATTAGAGTTCCTTTTTGACCCTCCAAGGCACAGGTAATTTGAATCAGAGATTAATAGTAATAATATCTTTCTCTAGAAACCCTTCGCGGAATGCTTTTGTATATCCACCAGCAGTGCAGCAATTCTTTTGGAACCATGACAAATTTCAGATTAACAAAAGAATAAAACCAATATGAATGAATGCAATTCTTGAGGTTCGGGGTTGAAGTAAGTAATTAAAAAATTTAGAAGTGTAGGAAACTGACCTCAGAGCAAGTGTTCACCAAGAATGTGTCGTAAGAATCGTATTATCTCTTACCCAGGGGATGAAGAAGCAGACATGGCTTCTTGTAGCCGCGTTCCTTCAGCCTGCGCTTGGTGTCGTTCATGAGCAGGGCGTGGCCGTTGTGGACGGGGTTACGCAGCTGGAATGCAAAGACGGCGTCGGAGCCGATCTCTCGGAAGCGGGTGCGGAGCTCGTTGGGAGTGAGGCGGTACTGGTCCAGCCCGTCGTTCCAACGTATACGCTCCAAGACCTCCAGGTCGCCACCAACTAGCCAATCACCACTCTCCATCACCATCTGTACAAAAGTTGAATGTTGTTGTTGTTGTTGTTTTAGTTTTTATGGCATGTATCATTATTTATGAATACTTATGAATGAAAACCAATTCACCAGTCTACTCATGTGCATTTTTTTAAAAAAGAAGACATATTCTAATTCCTCTTTCGAAGATTGCAATAACTCACAACTTATCATATTTTTTATTGATAATAATTCAAAGTTTGTGATAATTGCAAACAAAAAAGAAATAGTTGCTTGGATAAATTTGAAATATTGTTTCCTCATGTTCAATTAAGTTGAATGAAAGTGCATCTGTTCTGAGAGAAGGGTTACCAAAACTTTCTGCAGAGACACTGCCTACATCATCAAAAAATATAAAGGTGGATCACTTGCATTGGATATATTGCCTATGAAACATTAGGAGATCAATTAATTGAATGAGTTTGTAATTGACAAATTTGGTATGAATAAAACGTGGGATTCCATGAGTCAAACTGTTCTCTTACAGTCAAAATCAGCTTTCAATGGACACAAACCAGTTTCCAATGAATTAACCAGTTTGTACCGGTTTTAGGTGGATCAAACCAGTCTGAGCCGGTTGAAAGCAGCACCATGTACACTTACCTTGATATAGGGATGATCAGGATGGGACGTTCCCCACTGACGGCAGCATCTCTCCTCCTTCCTGTGTAGGTAGAACTCTGGCGTTCGCAGGATGGCTATACAGCGACCCTCGTACTTGAGTGTGAACGCCTCCAACTTCTCCAAACGCTCCTTGTCCTCGGTTTCAACGGGAAGAACAATCGGGACGGACTGGTTTATAGCACCGCCTGGGGAAAGAAAGGGAAGATCTTTTAAAGGCCTGAAAATTGTTCCACACAGAAATGAAAATAGAATGTTTAAGCTACCATTAAAGTGTATCAAATCACTAAAAAATAATCTGTAAACAGCTATTTTGTATAAAATCATACTCAACAAGTTCACCTGGCATTCTTTAGGTTAATAGAATTCACTAAGTGATTATTTTGTTTTGATAACTTATTGTCCCAATATTTTGAATTAATTCTGTGCCATAACGAGATGTAAAAATGTGGGTGTACCTTTATCTAAGTTAAGGTCCCTTCTGCTACTAAAGCAAACTCACCATCGAGAAGAGAGTTAAAATGTTGACATTGTAAGCACACCTCTCCCTCATGTTCTTGGAGAAATTCTATGCCAAAGTCCCCCTTCCCCTCTCCCTCCCCCTCCCATAAGACAAATTAGACACTACCCCTACATGGATATGATATTAATAGACTTAATGACCTTCTACTACTAAAGCCTACTCACCATCGAGAAGGCAGTTGAAATGCTGACATTGTAGGAACTCCCTCTCCCGCATGAAGCCCATCATGGGCGACGCCCACCCCTCGGCTAATACCTGGGTCCACTGCATATCAAGCTGTGAGGGATTGTGGGAAGGAAGAACAGACGTGATGAAAAAGAAATCGATAAAATGTGAACAAATGGTGTGAGTACTATTAAAGAGAGTCATTATAAATTTAGTTATATCTTCAAAATCATTACAACACAAATTATTCTCTATTCTTTTTTCGGGTAGAATATGAATTGCCACTGCTATTAAAGCGGGACTGCACTACTGGTAGATACTTTCGCCCTCTATATGGCCAACAATGCCTAAGCAGTACCCGTTGATCCCCCATGATCCCGTTTCTTATGTTGATTGAGAGTTGAGTTGACGAGATAACCACCTGTCAGTGACCACGCAGGGAGGTCTAATGTTCCCTCCTGGCCAAACTAGTGCAGATAGGCTTTAAAGAGAGTCCTCATAAATCTAGTGATTTCTTCCAAATCATTACAACATAAATTATCCTCTATTTTTTTTTTTTTTTGGGGGGGGGGTAGAATATGTATCTCCACTGCTATTAAATGAGGAAAGACACCCAACTTTACTAGTCAAATTATACAAAATCACAAACACCCCTAAAATGTGAATGGACTCACCTTGTTGATGTTGAGGGATGGAAGGCTCTCTGCCTCCTTCAAGGCCTCTGCTACTGCCTCTGCGGGGACGAGCAGCTCCTTCACGCTATCCACAACAGAGTCGGGAAGAATGTTCTGTAAAGAAGAATGACAAACAATAACATTATTTGTCTTTCTTTTTTGAAAGTCTATGATGATGATTTTGTGCAAATCATGTTTTTATTGGTGCATTAAGATGGTAAAAAGACCATAACTAAAATCAACTTGCACGGGACTAACACAGTCTTCCATGGCCTTTACTTTTCAAGAGGACGACCATGTCGACAAATCTTTTCATGACTCGGTAAAACTGTTTTCTTCAGCAATGCGCCCCTATGGAATTACAATATATATCTAACAGATGATGTTTGAAGGTTTGCATGGTGGTATGAACAATCGCGGAAGAGGTTTACGGTACACCATGTGTAAAGTCCTAGAAGGACTAAGGAAAGTGTCCTGAAGATGGACAGTCAACCTGTCCGAAACGTCGAGTCTACTCTCCTGCTCCTGCTCTGCAACTCTACTCGCCGACTCAAGCCAGCTTCTCTCATCTACTCAACTCTCCAACTCAATCCAGGCTTCTACTCAAACCTCTCATCCTGTCTACAACTTTCTGGTTTACAGTCCTTTTCAGGACTATACTCACTTCCGAAAGATACTCTTCCTTCCAACCTCCACTTTCTCGCCTTTCCATTTCACTTCCATTTCTATCCACTTTCCTTAGTCCTTCTAGGACTTTACACATGGTGTACCGTAAACCTCTTCCGCGATATATCTAACAGTCGCCTCATTAAATCAAACCTTATGCTAAGTGTCATGACTATTAAATAAATGGAGATCTTGGTTAACTTAAAAGAGAGAAGATGAAGGGCAAAAGAGGACCAAATGTCACTGGTCTAAATGGCCTTGACCAAATGTTACTGGCCCAAACACTATTGGGCTGAAGGATATTGGACCAGATGGCAATTTGGACTGACCACTTACCTCTGCCCTGAGGAACTTGACCAACTGCTGGACTACATCCTTGACGCTGTCCCTGCCAGACATAAGCACCAGGTCTGGGTTCTCAGGTGCCTCATAGGCCTGGTCGATACCAGTGAAGCCTAGATATAAGAACAAATGGTGATCATTAATGGTAGCTTAGTGGATATAGGAGTAGTCTAGGAACTGAAAGGGTGCTTCATAGGCCTGGTCAATACCAGTGAAGCCTAGGGTAATAACAGATAATAGTAGCTTAAAGGTAATACAAAGTTTTGGTATGGGGTCATGAATTTGGTTCAAATGAACATATTGGAAGCATATGCGATTTTACAATATTCAATGATCGTTGTTGTTGTTGAAATTGAATCTTAAGTGATGAAATGATTGTAAATAATAAACTCTTTATGTTGTATGGATCCCTCTCTAGACTGATATTACTTTAGCTTAAAAACAATGTTAGTTGACTACAATCAACCGATTTGCTATTCCCGTTTGGAAATTATATATCAGAACTGCATATTCTGAGATTTCAATGGTCGCAGCTACCATCGAATGGCCTTAGGCGCTATATTTGACATTTACCGGGAGCACCGGTAAATTTTGTATTATTCAATTTCTCGAAAGTGTTTTAGGGGCTAATTTGTTTAGTGCTTATAAAACATCCAGAGGGGCATCCAAATATTTCAAAATTTTTAAGAATTACTGTCGGTCCAATTTTCAAAATTTCCCTAAATTTTGCATTACCTTTTAAAGGTGGTTATAGAAGTGGTCTTGGAACTGGAAGGTCCTGGGTTCAATTTCATAATTTAATTCAAATCCAACATACTAGTGCATTTTGATAGGGAATTTATCATCATTTACCAATTGTATCATCACATATTAGTCAAAACATATTCTTTCACAAGATTGGTGATAAGAGTGTCCATTTCATTTTTCATTTGAGAAGGGGGGGGGGGCGTTTCCAAAACTGGACTATACCTTTAACACATTTTGACCTTTGACCTACCCTTGATAAGGCCAGCCCTAGCCTTCTTGTACAGTCCCTTCACGTCACGCTCCTCACAGATCTCCAATGGAGTGTTGACGAAGATCTCGTAGAACGGAAGGCCAGTCTTCTGATGCAATTGTCGTGCAACATCACGGTCCTGAAGGAAAAGAATAACAAATAAAAAGAACATTTAGAAAACCTGTAATACAGTCAAACCTGTCTACAGCTGCCGCCCAAGGGAAACACAAAAGGTGGTCCTTGTAGACAGGTTCCTTTAGTACATGATTCAATCAAAAACCATTTTCAAGGGAGACAAAAAATGTGCTTGTTGTAGACAGGTGGTCACTAAAGCAGGTTTGACTGTACTATAATAGACCCTACCGCAAATACGAAGTTTGGCAGTAGATGGCAACCTTCCTCCAACACTGCGCAGGTCAGCACATGGGCAGATGCGGGAGAGACTATAAGACAAGGTTTCTTCCAGCTTCCATCGAGAATGTACAGCAGGGTCAACTAATTCCTTAGTTAACTAAATTATTGTTGAGGTTTCATGAACTTCCTTGATGATTAGATGAGATCTTTGTAGGCACCATTATAATATGTTACATATAGTTTATTGGTTCTGAAACTATGATTTCTGTTAAACTTTACAGTTCTCGACCAATTGCATTTGTATGGACACCGGAAGTGCCTTTGGCCTTTTACCAAAAATATCCCCATGGTCGTTGATGCCCTCTATTGCCAAATTGAGGTAGGGCAAATTTTGTTTTCTTCTTGCTGAGAAGCATACAGGTGTGGACATGCAGGTGAAGTACTCCAGTAGTTCTTGATATCACATCTTAACCCATCTTCAATCAATGTACAAAGGACTAGATGCATGGGCAAAAAGAGACCAGGGGGGCGTTTCACAAAACTTGCCATCAGTGTCAAATAACAGTTTTTGTTATAAGCTACTGAAATCCTTGCTTCTGATTGGTTATCAGCAGATTTGTCACTGATTTTTGCCATTTGTCATTGAAAAAAGGGTTTGTGAAACGCCCCCCAGATGATTGACAAGACAGATTGGTGGTGTTGGAAACGGGATGACCTTGATTCAAGACCAAGAGAGTGTTTCAGTGCCCTTAGGAAAGGCAAATACAGTCAAACTTGTCTACAGCGACCACCCAAGGGAAACAAAAAATGTGCTTGTTGTAAACAGGTTCCTTTAGTATATGTTTCAATAAGAAACCATTTTCAAGGGAAACAAAAAATGTGCTTGTTGTAGACAGGTGGTCTTTGTAGACAGGTTCCTTTAGTATATGTTTCAATAAGAAACCATTTTCAAGGGAAACAAAAAATGTGCTTGTTGTAGACAGGTGGTCTTTGTAGACAGGTTCCTTTAGTACATGTTTCAATGAGAAACCATTTTTAAGGGAAACAAAAAATGTGCCTGTTGTAGACAGGTGGTCTTTGTAGACAGGTTCCTTTAGTATATATTTCAATGAGAACCATTTTCAAGGGAAACGAAAAAGGTGCTTGTTATAGACAGGTGGTCACTAAAGCAGGTTTAACTGAAGTCATAAAAGAAACAATCCACCAAGCTTACCTTTGCGTAGGGACTGATGAATGAGGACAGACAGACGATACCACCATCGGCGAAGAGCCTGGCGACCTCGGCGACACGACGAATGTTCTCTTCACGGTCCTCGGGGGTGAAGCTCAGGTTCTTGTTGAGACCGGTTCTCACGTTGTCTCCGTCCAGACCGTAGGCCGGGATGCCGTGGTGACACAGGTATTCCTCAAGGGCGAAGGACACAGTCGTCTTACCGGCTCCAGACAAACCTGACATGAACAATAACAATAATGATAATAAACTTTAATATTACTTTAAGGCACCTTTTCTAGGAGTTACACAGCCCTTTGCATATGTACATATAGAGCACTTTGTATCCATCCCAAGTTCCAAACTTAATAGTCCTCTATAACAATTTATAAGGACAGCATAAAATTCAAGTTCAATTTGAAATTGATTCCATTTACAATTTTTTAGAACAGATCACAAAATGATAATGCATAAATGAAGAGACCGCTTTAAAGAGGAAGAGCCTTATTTCTGCTGCCAACGAATAACAAAAGGAAAGGTTATACATTTTTTTTTTTTTTTTTACTTATGGTAGTAAGAACATAGACCTACCAGGTTTATGAAGAATTGGTTTATTACATCTTAGCAAGACATATCTATTCGTACATCGTCCAAATACTTCATAATGATACTATTATTCCAGCAATCAAAACGGTTTTGACAACTGGTGTTTAATTGCGTCCTACTGGGCACAAAGTGAAGTGACTTGTGCTGATTTGACTTACCGGTGAACCAGATAGTACATCCACGGAAGCCCCCGCGCATGCCCATGACCTGCCCACGCTTGTCCCTGGAGACATGATGGGTTTGCTCCGTCACGTTGGTGGAACCTTGCTTCTTTGACTGTAGAGAAAGTATTTATGTTTTTACAATGTACAAAGTTCTGCAATTCAACCATCTGGCTGCAAATGAATTTTTAATAAAACCATTACCATTACCATTACCAGAGGGGAAAAAAAGGGTAAAAAAGGATGATATAAGTATGGCAGGACTCAAAACTTACTCTTTTTGGAAGCGGGTCGGAATTGAAATTTTAACTCTCTGTATGTATGAGCCCTATGTATAAACTTCAAAATTGTTGGGGTTCAGACTTATTGTTGGGGCACCTTTCAGTGTCAAGTCTTGAATATGGTCTTACTAGGTTGATAATCTTGATGAATTGATTCAAGATTTGTACAGTGAAATATCTATCAAAGGGTTTTATACCAGATGCTTCGGCAGCAACTACTCCTTGGTCAAATTCTGCGGGATGTTTCACAAAGATCCGAAGTCAAACTTAACTATAAGTTGGACTTAAACATTATGGAGAGCCAATTGCAGCCTTAAAATTAAATATATTCAAAAGCAAAGATTGAAGTATTTTTAGACTTTTCATAAATCCCACATCAAGAACATGAAGTCTCCTTAATAATAGATTATATGAATGATCTGAATTAATATTTTATGACTTTTAAAACAATTTTTACAAAATATTTTCAGACGGCTTTCCATTATTTTTAAGTTCAACTTGGGATCTTTGTGAAATACCCCCCTGGACAAACTAAATTCTTAACTTCAACCTTGAAGCAAACATTTGTAGTCTTGTACCTACCAACACTGTCTTTGAGGCTGTTCACACCGGCAGAGATAACGTGCGCTAGACCGCGCTATCTCTGCGGTTTGGAAGGTACAACGTCGTTTCGGTCCGCCCAACAGCGAGCCACGGCGAGCCAAAACGGCGTGCCACTGGAGCACCTCTTGGGGGTGGTCCACGAGAGATAGCGCGGTCTAGCGCGCGCTAGAAAAAAGGGGGTGCTACGATAGACCGCGCTATCTCATTGCGGTGTGAACAGCCTCTTTGACATTGAACTGAACCCTGAAGCAAATGCTTAAAAATCAAACATGACCAATAGTCGCAAGAGCTATTAATGTTGAGTCATGGTATGCAGACCGCTCAGGTGAACAGAGCAAATTATGTCGAGTCATGGTATGAAGACCGCTCAGGTGAGAGAAGAAAAGCATGATTATCCTCCAGGGCCCATATACATGCACATACAAACTTACTATTAAAGTTAATTGTCAACTATAGGCTGTGGTATATATGTAGTTAGTTGACAACTAGGCATAGTAAGATTTTAGGAATATGAGCTCAGGTGGCCTTTATGAATTATATGTACAAGTTCCATTATTGCATGTTTCAATATGACACATTTCTCATAAAGAAACACTCAAATTGGTCTTTCTATACAGGTGGTTGCTAAAGCAGGTTCAACTGTCTTTGCAGCTCATGTGGCATTTGATTCTTGATTTTCAGGTTATCTACGGATAAAACTCCTATTTTAAGGAAGATGGAACCTTATTTGGACATTACTCATGATTATTCATACAGCAACATATTCCAACACCAACAAAATATGCGCATAATGTTGCTCAACAGAAATACAGAACCGTATTTGGACATTACTTATGTTAATTCATACTGCACATGTTCCAACACCAACAAAATGTAGCTCAATGATCATGTCACCACAGCCACTCTTATTTGCTTCTTTTTTTGGGGTTATGACAAAGACACACTTGTCAACTTCACATCCTGTACATACCAACAGTTGTCAACTTGTCAATGTTCTTAATTGACTATGTAAAGGGCTTTACAAAAATGCCACGTAATGTAAAACAAACAATGTACTTGTACTGAACTTGGTACTATGAGCGCACATACTGTGACGATGCTTGAACCTCAATAGGCCTGTCCTCACTATCTTGAGATTGCCAAATATCCCACTATTAAAACTATCCTGATCGCAAACTATCCAGCTAATTTGCGTCTTCATCAGCCCAAAGTTGCAATTAGCAGGATATTTGGTCTGGATTGTCATCCCAAGATATCTTGGGATAGTTTGCAAAATATCCCACTATTTGGCAAAATATCCAGCTATTTGTCCGGTGCGTCTTCACCAGCCCGAAGACTCGCACTATGCGCGAACGCTGAGCAAAATATCTCGAGCTAATTTCTCAAGGTCGAGGTCGAATCTCGAGCTGATGAAGACACGAATTGTAACTTCGGGATTATCTCCCAAATCAGAAAAAGCTGGTTATTTGTCAATTTCGAGATGATGAAGACGCGCCTAAAGTGGGTCGAAATTGTTGATCAAACTGCCTTTGTGGACGAGACAAGAAATATTGCATGTTCCTCTTGACATTTGTACCAAAGCACTTTTGCTAATATTGAAACAACACGAAAGACATACAAGAAGCTAGGCACATAGGCGCAAAGGTTGAATTAATAGATAATATGCATGACTTGGCAGATTTTAATGTTTGCATTAATGATGTTGCTCTATTACAATGCAATTTTGAAAGCAATACCAAATATACCAATGTAATTCATGTAGGTACATGTACATGTACATTTACAAAAGAATTTTATGTAAAAATTACCACACATGTATGATTATACAGAGTTTGAGCCTGATAAAAAACCAAATTATAAACCATGATCAATGATAGAAGTGAATTTGGTCTCTAAAGCTAGCCACAAAAACAAAAGCTCTCACTGCTTTCACTGAGGAAATTGATAATTGCCTAATAATCATGAGACACAGGAAGTTTGATGCGTTTTCGGCGGTTTCATTCTTGCTATGCAAGAGAGAGAGAGAGAGAGTGAGAAATTGCGTCTTCACCAGACCAATATGCTCATCACAAACTACAGCTCGGACGATTGCAAATTAGCCCACTATTTCCCAAATAGTTAGATATTTTGGAAACAAGACCAAATTTCTCAGGATATTGTCTCGACCAAATAGCCTGCTAATTGCAATGGCACGCTGATGAAGACGTGAATTAGCTGGCTAATTTGAGAGCGGGCTAGTTAAAATAGCGGGTTATTTTGCAACTTCGATCTGATGAAAGTAGGCCGAGAGAGAGAGAGAGAGAGAGTTACATGAAACTGCATCATTTTGAAGCATGAATGAAGCCTCCTTCAGATATGACACAGTAAGCTGAGATGATTTTTTAATGACAAACATCAAAGTATAATATGCTCCACATTTCCGTATCTTATAACACATGGCTCAGGGAATACGTGTAAGACCCTTGTTGCCATGGTTGCCATTCATTTACACATTACAACAACAACAAAACCTTAATTGATCAATCAAGCTCTTTCGTCTTACCAAGACCAGTATATATTCCTATTTGTATAACAAAATAAATACACATTCATGTACATGTAGACAAGCTTCCAAAAATAGAAATGAGATAGAAGCTAAATTGTGTTTGTTCACAAGGTCTGTCTAATTTATCTTCGTCATAATAAGAGCTAAAAATACATCAACAAATTACACCAATCTACACTGTTCAAATTCATGAGATAACTGATTTGATAAGAAGTAAAGTTTGTACCCCAAGCCAGATTTGTTACACAATATCATTAAAGAAGCTTCAAAAAGAAAATTTAAAAAAAGCAACATCAAACACTAAGGTATGACAATAAGGCAGAAAGTTTTCCATTCTCATTACTTGGTTTTCACAAATCCACAAAAAAAATCAATGGGCATACTAGTATCCAATCTATACGAGTTGTATCTACAGGGTGTACCTCTCACATTGTTTTGTCGTTGGTTGGATTCTGTAAGAGGTTCTTTTCCCGAATACCTCACCTCAAGATAACATGCACCTTTAGTCAAGCAAATATGAAGATTGAGGAATATGTGACTTGCTTCCTTTCAGCAGAGATGGGCAGGAGCTAGATCGAGGTCACATCGAAAGAGCGCTGATGTGATTTAAGATTTGGCAAATGAATACTCCTTGAACTTCGTTATCCTGAAATTACCTCACAAGGGTCCTTAATGAGATCTTAAGCCAGGTTCAAATTGATATTGCCCATTGATAAATATCTAGTGGTGAGGTTCATTAGGGGGAGCAATTGTGAATGATTAATTTGATCTTTGATCGACAGTATTGAGCAAGTCAGTCTTAAAGTGCATTGTGTACATGTACATGTACATATAGGCCTACATGTAAATGTAACATCTATGATCTTTGTATTCAAAATTTCAAATCAACTTTAGCCTACATATTAAGGTCAGTCAGTCCAAATGTCCTATGAATATAATTGCAAACACTTTCAAAATATCAACATAAGGCAATTACGTACAAGTAATTCAAACATTAATTTCTATAAGCAATATACAATGGGACATTGAAATCGTCCTTAATTAAATTGATTTCTGAAAAGTTTTTGCACTTGTATTCATAATACAGTCAGTCTTGTACACATACATGATGTACATCTTGGTCGGGGCGGATTTAGCAACGTCATGAACATGTATCTGTACATGTAAAAATATTTTTAGAGCACTTAGCCAATCATTAAATGGAATATGTTCTTTACAAGCAGGTTTCTTGCAAGAGCAGAACAACCCCATACTATACAAAAGTTGGGGAATTTTAGTAAAAGAATACCACAAGCAATTTTTTCCTAACAAGGGTAATAGACTAGGGTCATAGAGTACCAAAGTGTGATGTCATACTGGCCAAGTTGTCAAAGTTGCTGGTTTCACACAATTTTGTGTTAGGCAATGGCATGGTGATCCCACCAGACCCAAACACTATATTTGCCCTGCTCCAGCCTGTTGCTTGAATGATTCTGTGGTGAACCTCATGCAAAGGCTCTGTAACTTTGGAAACCAGTAACCTGGATGACGAGCGAATATGACTTTAGCAGTTTGGTACTCTATGTGTTCAAATACTTTATGGACATGCCTCCAAATGTCCTATATGTTTCGTGTAGCATGTTTCTATTCCACTTCCTACATGTATGTTTATGCTTACTTGCCTCTTTTAATAATATGTTTAAATTAAAGGCGCATTTAGAAATTGAAACCTTAAACTTTCCCATGACAAAACACAAACAAAGGCTCACAAATTAGGAAGTTAGCGTGGAAGCAAAAATTAAGTAGTGGAATTCCTGACCTAATTGGACAATGAAAGGGACCAATGACCTTTAAAAAGAAGAGGATTTGTGTACAGCTAGAATGTTTTGAATCATCCTTTAAAACTTTACTGGTATTCTATGAGTATGAAGAAAAAATAAGTAATAGTAATACTTGTATTTTATAACAAAACAAGTTGCAAAAAATTGGTTGTGGTAAACTGGCAATGCTTTTTAAAGATAAAGTTAAAGAGCAGTTCTGGTCATGCGATTGCATTGTGAAAGAAACGTTGTGGAATCAGAAAAGGTTGATCATCTAAAATGGATAATGGCGCTATATAAATCTCATGCATTATTATTATCTAGCATATACTGGTAAGTATATTGGTGTGTGTACTGCAAGGTTCTGAAATCATAAAAAATTTCTTATCATTTTGATGATTCCAGAACCTTGCAGTACACACCAATACTTATATGCTAGATGATCAACCTTTTCTGATCGATTCCACAACGTTTCTTTCACAATTACATTCACAAAACTTTTAATTATTTTTAAATTTTATTTGCAAGACTTGAATATATTGAATTTGACTTCATTCATGTTTTCTGAATCGAATCCATTTCAAGGTTTTCCACTGAAAAACAATCAATTGATGGACAATTGCCAAGAGCAATTTACATTCAATTTGTTTAAAGTGTAGCTGACTGAATACACTAACTCTATGCACATACATGTACATGTATGCATGTACTATATGTACAGTTAGAACTGCAAAATTACATTACATTTAATACATTGTACTTTCAGGTGCAGAAGAATACAATTAAAGTTATTTGAATACTCAATAAACAAACATGAAAATTGAATGTAGCAAGAAGCAATGATTCTTGTATACATATTATAAGTGTGATTACAATGTATACGGTAGCTAAAATCAAGACCAAAATCAATCAACTCCAGCTGAATCTCTTTTTTGTTTGGGGGGGGGGGGGGTGCCTGTACATTGTAAGTGTTCCCTCAAGCCAATGCCACATTGCACAAATCTGTTTGACCGTGTTTAATAAGTACTCCACTGAGGACTAGACACTAGACAATTCTAAATACTGGTAGGCGAAATGAAGTACTTTTGAAGGGTACCATACTGTACACGTACACTGTATGAGAGTATAATAAACAGCAAAAGTAGTACTGAAGTTTTTTGTTTTTTAAAGCTGGGCCCTGTATCATAAAGAGTTACGACTGATTCAAATCAATCACAATTTAAAATTAATCGCAACTGTGTACTTTAGAGATAGGAGTTGCGATTAATTTCAAGTTGCGAGTCATTCAAATCACTCGAAACTCTTTAAGAGATGGAGGCCCTGGATGAAGAAATTTCATATCTGAACTATTCGGAGGGAAACCTTACCAGCTTCATTGAACTGCATTCTCTATAGATACCTCAGTATTTTAATAAGCAGAGATGCAATGAGACATCAAACGTGTCAGTTCATTCCCCCTCCTGTCTATTCATAGTGTTTTAATTGCTTGCTTTTTGTTTTTGCAGGTATACACATTTTGTAGAAGTAACAAATGCAGGTAAGTATTGCTTGTAAGAACATGCCATTACATATATCTTAAGCAGGATATGGGTGTATCTTATCTACCTACATGTAGTTCAAAGGTAATAAAATTACGCCTGCATCACACAATACTACGATACTACCCTCACAATGTTGTACAATTTAAGGGATAGTACCAGCTTAATGTATTTATGACAAATTTACTATAATCTAAAAGGTGTACCGGTAGATAAAATGATATATTGACAGAGAAAATTTGTTTAATGCCTTCCTGAAATGAAAATTATGCTGGTTGATCATTTTGTGTATTGAATGAAACATATTTCAAATTAATGGGTTGGTCATTCTCTAGTTCATTTGTACACTGTATAATCCAAGTATGTAGCAAAGGAATGTGTAAAATGCAATGTATACCGTTGGGCAAACTGTATGTAAATACATGTAGAAAATATATAGAATGTATATGAAATCGTAGAATGAAGATGTAAGTTATCAAAAGCAATAAGCTTTGATGATAGTACATGCGAGACTACATTGTAAGTTGTCTAAGAAGAAGTGATTTTTTTACATTTTTGTCACTTATAAAGAGAACGTCAAAGTGGTCAAATTCAAATATACAAAAATGAAATGTAGTTTAAGCCAATAATATAGCCGAAATGATGATAAAAAAGAAGGCAGAAATGGGTAATCGAAGAGGATACATAACTTGTAAAAGATCATTTTGGCTAACCATTTGTACCTGACTAAACAGTAAAAACAAAATATTGAAATAAAAAATAAAAGAAGGAATAATATGTTTAATGGATCAATCTTGACAGAGATAATTGCACCAAGGGTAATTTGAATGGACAGTTGATGCTAGTTGTAATGAAATAAAATTGAAAAATACTTTGCATCTTTCAGCTGGAAATAAAAGAAAACCCAATTTTCTAACTCTTATATTCGAGGGAGTGTAGCAACAGAGTGAGGAAATTTTGATTTTTAAATGGTTGCATTTTAGAGCACTTGAAAGCTGATTAAATATCCCTGTAAATGTAACATAATTACACGCAAAAATTTTCTTGTGAGGAGGCCCCTTTGAGGGGCAAGAAGCAAATTTGCCCAACTTGAATTATTTGGGGGGGGGGGGGGGAATCTGTCCCCTCTGACCCCTACTTCTGTCACATATGATTAGATAGATAATGAATTGTGGCAATCCAGATTTCAATTAAAATTATTGTTTGCCCTGTGTTATTTCTTGATTGACAAATTAATTAGGAGAAAATTAATCTTTGGCTTTGAAAACAACATATCTCAAAATTTCCCCTCCCTTAAAGGTAATACAAAGTTTTGGGAAATATTGAAAATTGGCTGGATAGTGATTCTTCAAAATTTTGATATATTTGGATGCCCCTGTGGATGTATTATAAGCACTAGCAAATTTAGCCCCTAAAACATTTCTGCTTTCAAGAAAAATGGAATATAAAAATTTACCGGTGCTCCCGGTAAATTTTGATAAATTTCAAATAGCGCCTACGGCCATACAATGGTAGCTGCGACCATGAACATTTCAGAATATGTAGTTGTCATACATAATTTTCAGAAGTGAATAGCCAATCGGTCTATTTTAGTCAAGAAACATTGTTTTTTAGCTTAATTAATATCTTGACCTTAAGAGGGAGCTATACAACAAAAAGAGTTTATTATTTACAATTTCATAACTTTAGACTCGATTTCAAGCGCGACAACGATCACTGAATATTGTGAGATCGCATATGCTTCCAATATGTTAATTTGAACCAAATTCATGACCCCATACCAAAACTTTGTATTACCTTTAAAAGTATAGATCCCTGACAATAAAGTAGTGCCTACAATGTACATGTATAGTACATACATGTACAGTTCACAACTAAAACATTCATACCCTTACCAAGTTTTTTAATTTTTTAAAACTTTAATTTAGGTAAATGAATATTTATTTTTCCTGATTTAGTTTTTTTGTAATAATGTGACATATCAAAGATTACAGCTAGAAATATTCAAAGGCCCTAAATCAACCAGTCAACCTTTCACTCTTTAGTTTAAAAAAAAAAAATACATAAAAAACATCAAATTTACGAGGGGTATGATTAATTTAGCTGTTAACTGTATATATGATTACAATGTAGGAAGATAGAACTACCTAAGTACCATTACAAATTGGCATCACTATACAATTTTTTTTTTAATGACAGCAACAGTTACACAAAATTATCTGCATGGATGAGAAACAATGAGCAATTATCTAAGTCTGTGTTTGAATTAAATTTCCTTCTCTTCCTTTCTTGGGTTATTAAACAAATCTATCAAGGTTAAATTTTGATGAGCAGCAACGATAATCTTTGCAAGTTTTTACAAGATATAGAACAATTTGTAGGGAACAGAGATGTTATAAAGACAGTTAGAAGACAGTCACCACGACGAATTAAAGCACAAGATATATAATGATGAGAGCATCGAGCACAAAATGTAAACATCTTCACAATAAATGCTAGAAGGAATGAAAAAATGAGGCCTTTGATTAGTATATATTGTAGTTTAGAGGAAGGATGAAAATGGGATGAAGAACGGTAGACAATACAAAGATGATTTTCTTTCAAAAAGTAGCCCGAAACAGCTGAAAAACTGAATTAAGGCACAAGATATATAATGTTGAGAGCATCGAGCACAAAATGTGAACATCTTCACAATGAATGCTAGAAGGAATGAAAAAGATGAGGCCTTTGATTAGTACATGGGATGAAGAATAGCAGACAATACAAAGATGATTTTTTTTCAAAAAGTAGCCCGAAACAGCTGAAAAACCCACCACTCTGATGCCATAGGGGTCCGGGTTGTTGTTGTTGATTATCTTGCCTGCCGATGGATCCGTCATTTCGGAAGAAGTTCCTTGGTCACTTGCCGAACACTGCGAGGATAACGAAAAGAAGGTTTTGGGCTCAAAAAAAGCGGTCTCCGAACCAGAGTTTAGACGTACTTAAGATTCCGGAGATCGATCTCCAAATTTGTTTTCTTCTTTTCTGACGTGGGCTGATGCGAACAGCACTGCCGGTGGTTCCACAGGTCTATGCAGAAAGCGAGAGAAGGACCCTGAAACAGTTTCAGGGTTTAAATACCCTGACAATCAAGTACCAGCAAAGTTCAAAGGTACGCTCTACAACAGGGGCTGCCTATATATTAGTGTGTTCAAGAGTGCAGGTAGGGATATCTGGATAAGTGGTATCAGTATACATGTATTAGGTGGTGACGTGGTACTGGCAGGACTGGCCCCTCCCACTTTGAGAACTGTTTGCATTCAAGCTTCAGAGTTCATTCAAACTATCCTGTAGCTGGGTGATCAAGTATTGATCCATAGCTTTACATAACAATAGGTTGCCGTCTTCCTATCTTAAAGGGTGTTTGCATGTCCATAGACTAAGCGAGTAATGAGGGCTTCATGACTACAGTGTACATATGTACATCTAGGACTGGGGCTGGGGAATGCACAGTACATCTACTTCTTTACTCATGCCTACCTTTAAAAGTTATAATAACCTTGATAGGCCATTGGCCTTTGTTTTTCCCCCACAACATTATGATTTAAATTGAAGATGTTTTATTTTAACGTCTGTTAATGTATGCATATAAATTGTACTTGTGCTTTTTTAAATCAGATGTGGAAATAAAACTTGAACTTCATATAAGAATGTAATGTTTTCATGCTGTAAACCACACTATATGCTGATATACTTTTGTACTCAAGCTAAGCCCTGATTCATACAACTTCTCATCAATAATATATATGAAGATTGCTATAAGCTTTGGAAATCCTTGTATCTGATTGGGTTTGAGCCGGTTTGTCATAGCGCTGTGGCAGTTGTTATAAACAAATTATGAAGTAGAGCCATGGTGTGTGGGGGCATGTGGGTCAATTTTTATTCAGTTGACCTATTTCTTCTGAAGGACACCTGGCATGCAAGTGCACAAGTGTCTCTCAACCTATTGTCAAACTTTTTTATAAAACTAGTTGGTATATTTGTGTTGCATGTGTTGAAGTGCCAAATAAAAATACAAAATTAATAATACAAAATACAACGGCACAATCGATCTACCACCAAAATAAAGTTCTAGAGAATCGTGTTGTTGGTTGCATACTCTGCGCAAATTGATATCAAATCCCATGGATATCTTCTACAAAACAAAACTATTAGTGGTCAAGGCCTTATAAAATGTTTTAAAATAGGATTACAATTGGGTTTTTTTTTCTTCATGCGTGTACAGTGTACACGCCTCTAGCTATGCCATGATTCTGTATAAATACAATATTTCTTCCTACAAGCTTCATATGGACCTACATGCTTTAGTGTGCACAAGCTAATACTAGATTGCACACAGCTACTGAGCTAGTATGTTGATAGTGATTAACCAATGAAGCGAGTAATACCAAGGAGAGACCAGCATGTTGTATTCATTAACTACCAGTATCTGAGCCACGTCAGCAACGTGCCTTCACATTTTGCTTACATGTACATAACAAATTAATTAATTTTCCTACACCTGACATCTATTAGGTTTGTTTTTCTTCTTTCTTTCTCTCTTTTCTCTGTGCAGATTGTTCCAGTTCTCTTTAACTAAGATTTCAAATTTTTGACAGGGAGATATGAATGTTTACGTGTGTTGAAGCTACAATGAACAATCTATCCCCCCTTGCCAAACACTTTGCAAACATGGACAAGATTTAATAACGAGACTAATCCAACATCTGCTGCTAATTAATTTATAACATATTGGCCCAAGGTTAATAGTTTAATGGATTTTGGTACAAATATCCAATTTTGGCGGTTTGGCAACAGCTTGAAGTGTTTATTCTCAGACCTACTCTCGATTATAAGGTGGAATAATGATTGAAAAATTTCTCTGGCTTACTACATAATTAGCAAACTTTGGGTACCGGTATGTATATTTGCTGCGGCTTACAATCATGCAGGTATGATAGTTGACGGTATATTCAACATTACTGTATATCATTCTCAAAGTGTAAACATATTTTTGAGCGCTAGAATTACAAAGAATCCTACATGAAGGTTCTATATTGATTTGAATACCATGATCTTGTTATTTTCTCCTACAAAAACTATTCATTTTATTAATGTTACCAACAGGCATGTTAAATTGTGATCATGTTATATTAGGGATCACTAGAAGGGGAGATTTAACAAAATAACCTGACACTGACAACCCAAGGAACTGAAAATTTAAGGAGAAATTAATAAGTGTAAAGCAATAGAAACCATAGATTCTGTGATTTCAGACAACTCTAAAAGCCCAAAATAAGTTACTTAACATTCAGATCATCGGACTTGTGAACCCACATACATGCATAACTTTTCAGAAGTCGAGTGAGACTGAGAGTGTTGGTCTCATGGGCTGTGGCCTACCAGAACAGATACACATGAACCAGTAAAGATGCAATTCCGACCTTACAGTGAATAGTTAACGATGGCCTACAAAATTGACATACCTTCTCACTGACTGCAAGTCCATCATTAGTACTCGTACTCATCTTGAGAGAACCCTTTGCTTCAAAAAAAGAAAGACCAGATTTCTACCAACTTTCTATTAGAGCCAACGCAGCAGCCACGTCCTGTTCTAGCACAATACTTCTGCAAAAGTGAGCTCTCCTGATCCTGAAGCTAACGGTCACACCCCCTTTCTCTATGGATCTAGACAAGCATTGTGTACTCAAATCGATGAGCATATGAACTGAGTCAATAGGGAAAGTTTTTTTTTATAAAGCGGACTAGCGATATGCCCCACTGACCTCCACAGGCCCAGACTCCCGCTAGTCTGGTTTTGTGACAAATTCCTTGACGTTCTGATCATTGTTATTAAAGATATAAAACAAGACACACACACATATATGTCACAACAGACCAACACCAAGAGTGGTATTTTAAAATAAAATGTAAGATGATTACAAGGTTTATGATTGTGAAGGAGACTTCAGATGTTTAATATAGAAAAGAGGAAAAAAAAACTATTGAAACATATACTTTGTAATATGTTGCCCCTACATGTATATGTGGTCTGAAATGCAAATCATGAAAGAATTTTTGGACTGTATACATGTAGACTGCTGATTAATTATAATTAAAGCTTATTTTATAATAAAACCCAAAACTTGATAAGGCATTTAGGCAAAAAGAGTGCAACTTACATGTACTTCAATTTGACAGAGAGAGAGAGAGAGAGAGAGATGTTGAAAACACTAACAGGGGGTCATTATAGTCCAACATTTGAGCAATTTTTTTATTTAATCTATTTTTAAAAATCAACAATAGGTTGGCTCCTTACATTTGATAAGCCTTTGAAAGGTGTTCTACTTTAGTACTTTTCATAGTGAAACTATGGTGAAAATGTTGAAATGTGAGACTATTGTATTTAACAACTACATTCATACCCTTACCAAGTTTTTTTATTTGTTAAAGTACATGTACAAGTACTATACATGTATGAAAAATTGTTAAGTACTGATTTTTGTTTCTTGATAATATGACACGTTAAAGATTGCATCTAAACGTATTCAGCTAGTGTGATTATTTGAGATGTTAATTGTACAATACATGTAACTCATCAAATGACTTGATTATCATGACATACATGTACACAGAAGTGACAGAACCGTGACCTACGTGTTGGTATCCTCAATGAACTTAAACAATAGTTTTTCCCTCCCAGTCTACATGAACTTTTAAGCTGTGCACTGTATTCTACATCTATGTAAAGAAAAGGGTGTGGTCAAATGCCAACCAAAGGTTCAAACACCCACTTTAAGAGTTAATTTAAACCATCCTTTGTGTAGGTCCCCAAACAGTTCCTTTTGTTCAGATTTCAAAAGGATTTGGAACTACCAGTACTTATAGAAAGTGTCTGCGCAGTATTCTTCTCACCGTACATGTAGTTCTTCCACTGTTTGCCGTAGTGGAAAATTTGAAAGGAATCTACACGGATGTCTGTAAAGCCGATTGGCTGAATATGTAAGAAAGTGAGGTGTAGTCCCATACATACAGGTAGTGTCTTCATGTACTGTCAAGATGTATAATATGTGTGATCCATGTTGCAATTGTTAAGGCAAATATTATGTTTTCAACAAACACTTGACCATACTTGACTACCCTTAGAGAATCAAACTGAAAATTTGAATGGGTTTAATTGATGTCTTAAAGACAAATATGTCTTCCTTTTTTTTTCAACTTCCACAGCTTTATGCTGTTCTTTTCTCTCTATCTCTCCCACTCTCTCTCTTCCTCCTTCTTCTCCTTTTCCTTCTCTGTCTCCTTTGCCTTCTCCTTCTCTGTCTCCTTTGCCTTTTCCTTCTTCTCCTTCTTCATCATCATTATTTATTTATTATTTACATTGTATTTTCTTTAACTCCTAATAGATACAACACCTGTGCACAAGCCTTGTTATCTGGCCATCTTTGTTTTTTTATAAATATTGAATTCATGAAGAATATATAGCCTCTGGGTTGACAGTGCATTTTCAAAGTTAGAAAGGTAAAATCAATTCAACCCTCATTCCTTTAGAAACACTGATATTATTTACACTACAACGAGTGATCAAATGTGTAAAAGTTTGTTATTATCACTTTTTCAATATGAAAACTGGTGGGAAGAAGAAAACAAAAATCACATTTGACAGGAACAGGTGGCAAGAGGCCTAGAGGCTGGCCTGGGTTTCTGCAATTTGATTTGCTGGTAGGTGAGCCTCACAGGTATGATTTGTTCTGCCCAAGTTCAAAGGGTTTCTGCGCAAAAGAGCAACACTTAGCTCCACCCCTCACATGCAGTCTTGGCGTTCAGACCCTTTTGAATTTTTGGAACATTTTACTACAGTACATGGAAACCAGTTTCTTCTTCTTATTCTTCTTCCTCTGCTCCATTGGAGATCAGCAGCTTCTGGAGTACTGCAATTGTGTTATAGCATCGGAATAGGTCCATGGTTATAGCAAGCAGTAATGTCATGTCAGGTAGAATGTATACCAGCATTGGAGAAAGCAAAAGCACGAGCAGAGTTGATATTGTAGAGGAATGACAGTGATGCATTAAGAAGAAATTTCTTTTGGTTTTATACGGCAGAACCTTTTTTGATGAAGTTAACATCTATATCTATCATCTAGCAAGTGTTCCACAAGCAACTGCCAGAGAAAAAGAGGTTGATTGGTCCGTTGAAAAGGCACAGTAATTAGCTTGCCCACATGGGGGGCACAGAAAATGAGTAACACAGTGCAAACTGGAAACACTTTACACAAGTTGTTGTTACAATCCTACATTTTACCACATCATAAGTACCTGCAAAGCAAAGAAGAACAAATGTCATGCTATTTTTGTACACTTATTTACGGAATTGTAAATGTTTCTTTTGGAATACAGAGAACTGCACTTGGCACTCCATAAATCAGCAACCTGCTCCTGTAATCGGAACTAAGAATTGGTAGGTTTTTATGAATAATGGCCCAATTTTTTAAACTTTGGTTAAATTTCTTTGAACCTCAATGATGGGACTGAGCCTTCAAACTTCAATGAAGAAAAGAATTGCAAATTCAAAAACACATTCATGTTCCTGTAATATGCAATGTATTTGTTTTCATAGACTACACCACAGTAGACCAAAACTGGAAGTTGTAAAATGAGACTCTGTGTGCATTGCAGTTTTTATTGGATTTAATAGGTTCTCATACTTTTACATTCACATAAAAAATAAATCAAAGAACTGATACAATTACAACTTGGGGCTAAAGATGAAGTTTCAGGGCATCTACACCGTTTACAGTATGTCGCTGAAACTCACGTATGCAGTCTTTGAATCTGGAGTACATGACGGGAAATCAAATAATGAGTGAATCAGTCGCTATGGAATTTTCACATACAGTACATGTAAGAAGACAAGTATTTAAGTGAGCTCTTCATCAGTTAACAGCCAGAAGGTCATTGCTCCTGTACCAAAGGATATGGCCTAATGCCCTTTTGGCTCTCAACATTAGCAGTGACCCAATGAGTAGCAATGTTCAAAATACATGTTGGGGGAGGGGCTCTGGGCAATTTTTTCTTGGGGGGGGGGGTGCCAATAAGGATCCCTTTTTAAAGGGACTTTGTAACATTGTTCAGATGAGAGATAGTGGTGCTAAGGTAGTGACTTCAATGCTAGATGTACAATTAAAGATAATCTGAAAATTTGAGTGAAAACGGATCATTATTCATGGTACAAATTGGGAAAAACTGATCTGATCGATTCCTTAATTCTCCCAACTATATTATTCTACTTCTATACTGCTACTTGGCAAAGCCTGTTCAGCATCAAGACAAGGACAACTTACATACATTTTAGGTAAATGTAAATCGTCAAAAAGCAATAAAACGGCTCTACATTCCATTCCAGATAGTTAAGTGTTGACAGATTTTTATAGCCTGTTTTATGTATTTTTGTCATGGAAAAACGGTTGGGAAAATTCAAAAATGGTTGGGAGAATTTACTGTTAAACTTAATCACTGTTAGAGGGTGCCTCACATCGACGCCATCAAAGAAAACCATAGATATCTTTGTGGTTTGAGAATTTGTTCAGGATTTTTTGCATGTCAGAGGGTTAGTATAGTAGAAGGAATATAGTAAATAACATTTTATACAAAAATTAAGCAATTTTTTTCATCAACCTTCAACAATGTTACCGAGTCACTTTAGAGGAAATGTAATTTTACTTTGAAATAGACTATCAAAGTAATTTTAATTACACATTGTAAGAGATGGTTGACTTTGGGGTCTGTCAATCTGTTTACAAGTTTGGGACCCCATCAACACTTTTGAACGTCTGCATTTACCTTATAGTGTCAATTGCTTGTTTCTACAAAATCTTAAATGAATCCTCAAGTCACTAATGTACAGGTTGATGAGAAAGCCCATATCACTATGTCTTTCATTCAATATATAACTGGGAAGAAATCTTATGACCTATATTGAGGGCTTATCAGTTTCTTTCTGCAAGATCCAATCTGATCTTGTATCCTGTTGTTCAAACAGTTGTTAGTAGTACCTGCATCATTACCTAAATTGTCTTAATGGCAGTTACTGTAAATATGCATGTAAATTGTGAACTTTGTATCTAAGAATAAATATATACAATTAAGACTAAATATAAAGTAATTGAGCTATTTATTAAGAGTGCTTCTACAAAAGTCAAACATGTTTATTCTGTGTAATGAGATGGCCTTTGACTTTGCGATCTTCCACCTAGAAAAATAGCGGATAATGACCAGGAGGTCTCAATCTGTCCATCAAAATGATTTCTCACTCACTAGGGTGCAAAGGGCTGTGCTCTGCACCCCTGAAGTGCAAACTTGAAACCCTTCACACCCCTAGATGAGAAATATGAGACCTGGGCAAACATTTTGATAAGGTTAGAGATGCAAAGCCTTTTGATCTTTATTCTTCATCAGTAAATTCAGCAGTGGACTTTGCTCATGTGACTGATGTAAGCACCCACAGAGTAGTTTCATTTTCTTTCTCAATTTCGACCAACATAGGTCTTACCGTAGTTGTGGTAGCTGGGAAAAATTTGGAATGAAATTTCATAATGTAATTGAATGAAATTTAT